AAATCGATTTAAGCATGTCCGTCTGTCCGTTCGTCCGTGAATGTTACAATGTCACAACTCTTGAATGCATTTAAACATGTCCGCCTGTTCGCCTGTCAGTCTGTCCGTTTGCGCAACTTTGTAGTATTTGTAGCAAATATTCTCCGAAAATGAAGATCTCGCCTACAAATTTACAAAAGTGTTTGGAATTGACATTAACTCTTCAAGCGACACGCCTACAATGTTTATACGACAAAAACTTTTACATTGAAAATAGAAGAAAGTAACTGCGCCCACTCCATATCAAAGAGCATGAGAATTTTGTTCCGCTGTCTTTTGTTGGGTAAAACATATATATATATATATATAATCTATAAATAGGTATAATAAATGCGGTCCCGACCGAATTTAATATTCTTAATTGTTCTTTTTTGTATGTTTATGTTATCATAAAATTTTACGCCACAATAATACTCGATTTCGATATAACATGACACACATTGCCTTTATTTATATTATACCTTAAGTTAAATAAACAAAAAATAAAAAAAATTGCGTATAATACAGTTTCAATTGCGCGTGGTTCGAATTAAAGGTGTCATACGAGCGACGCCTCAGAAACGCACAGAAACATCCAACACTTAACTTAACGGTTGAGCCGTATCAGCGCAGTGACACTGAACTTCTTTTAGAACTTTAGCGACATTGTTGCATGAAGAGGAGGATTTCGGCGTGAATAACGAATCGTCAAATGTACATTAAACGTATTGATTGAAGATATGGGATACAAATCTCTATGGATTATTCAAGGCTGCGACCAACTAAGTTTTATTGCAGTTCAGCGTCGCCTAGAGATATGAGCCTACGCAGCAGGTTGGTGGTTGATGACTTTGATCAGCTAAATATTACAGTGTTTTACATCCGTAGTTGTATCCTCTTAAGGCTGATGAATGTGTAACTTGTTGAATCTTGTCTTCGCCGCTCTTGATCTTTGTTTATTTCATGTTCATTTCATATTTATTTTCGCGAAATTACTTCTTGTTCGATAAGAAATAAAAAGGTATCGAAATTGATAATGAGTCTCTTAGTAGTTTATTTATGTCGATCTCATCTCCTGACGCGCTTGACCCGTTTTCTTCTTGAACAAAGCCCAATATTGTTGCAAGACTGGCTGCTTTAACACATATTGGTGAAACAACCCCGATGTTACGGAATATACGTAGACGCTTGGGTCCCAAACTATAGCGGATATTGTTGAAAATGGTTCGGGTCGGAACATTTCTAACGTTTTGAGACGTTCGAGTAACTGTATGGTAGCATAGCATAGCAATAGTGCACGCCATTTAATACTGAAGCATGGACTATAATGTTTTTATTTTATTTTGAACTATCAACGCATAGCCGTAATTTCAAGTTCATCTACTAGATAAAAGGACAAAGTTTTCAGATACAAATCTATGCACATGCGCACTAGATGGAAGTGGTGAAAATTCATTAGGGATTTATTTAATTAAAATTATTTTGAGTAATTACTTTCGTTTCTAGATGTACGGGTGCATAAATAAGTAAAACTGAGAAATAGTCAACCTCTCCTACTGAAAAGGCTGACAATATGTAGGCTAAGGTTGTGTTTGAACTTTTGCGAACTTGCTGCTGATTCGAGCGTTATAGTAGATGAATACCGAATGATTTTGTTTGGTTTTTTTTTTTTTTTCTTTTGCCTGGAATTAAGAACGTGTATATTCTGCACAATGGCGTCGGTACCATACAGCTCATGAAACATTGGCTCCATTGCGTGAAGAACATTGAAACCTGTTGTTGGAAGACATTATATATACTATAATTATAAATATAGCCGTTGCAGTTGCTATAGATAGTACAATTCATATTCTATTAGAGACACCAAACGAAGTAAAAAATTTGATGACTCTAACTGTGGCCAATGAATTCTTATACTCACTGCACATTTTTATGAATAAAATATCTGACTCTTATGCTTACTCTTCAAACGATGAAGAAATATCTACCATTGCCTTGGTCTGTAATAGTATTAATTAAATAATGGTTGCTTTCAATTATAGCGAAGTAACGCAAGGCGCCTTACAAGTGTGGCGTGGTTTGCCGGAACGCATCAGGCAGGATCCCAGCTTAGCGTCATTTCGTCATGAGCATGAACGCGTGCATGGTATGTGTTATCAAAAACTAAATATTTATAAAACAAAAATATACATAGCAAAGACACTATAAAATGGAACTCTCTTTGATAAGTGTGTGTGTGTAACTATGTATTGATGAAGTCGCCATTACGGCTTCAAAGTTTTATTCGCGCGAATAATCGTTTTCTGATATTTTTCCTTACCATTCTCTGTAAAATCTGTCCATAGATATGTCCGTAACTAACAAAGCAAAGAACATCATGTTCTAAAGCGAGCTTTTAGATGCTTCCATATTACCTATAAATGTCGTATAAAATACATGTAGGGTCGGGCCATCACATTTCATATTTATCACGTTTTGGAGATAGCTAACATTTCCACTTGGTACATGATTCAGCTCAATCAATCTATCCCAGTATACTGGGATCGAGCGCTAACATTGCCAGTTGAAATGTTTTGAAATTTGTACGAATTGAAGTCGGAATGGCAGAAAGAAATTTAGTAGTCGCTTCGGTTCGCTTCGCTTCGCTGTTGCACTATTATAGATTTCACAAGTGTAGACTTCATGAAGACTGATTTGGTTATGCATATAAATCGTTTTATGGTTTGTAGGTTACGAACCTACTGATGTGGACCCCTTGCCGTCTGATGATGCAGATGAACGAAGTCAAAACAATGGGGGCGTTGATGCCGATTTGGTCAACGACAATGATTGTTTGGATCATAAACCGATCGACAACGTTAAGAAATTTAATGCCTTCAATATTACCAACGAAATGGGCCAAATGCGTATTTTGGATGGACGTGAAGTTGAGAATAACAACGACGATCAGCAGGATGATCCAGAGCAGTCAGTAACATCTAAGGTAACCTGAACTTTGCAAAACGCATTTAACAGTTTCTTTAGTTACATTACTTTTTCTTACGCAAGCGCAGGTGAAAAAATACTTGATATGGTTTAAGATTTCCGTGCTGCTGGTAGTGTGGATGGTATTTACCGCGTTTCTGATGTCCACGAATGAACATGTAGATGTCCTGAAACTCATAAGCATACCAGCAAATGGAGCAAAAAAATGTACGTCATTATGTCTTTAATTATTTACATTGATTGCATATCCTGCAGCTCGACGAAGATTTCTATGCTAAAATATATGTGTATGTTCTGCACGCTTAAAAATTTCCTATGAGCTTGATAGGCAGAGCACGGTTGCAAGCTGTAGGACCTACATAAATTGCACGCGATGTCTGTTCATGATTCAGACAAGATTTCTGTTAGTCTTGAAATTTATCATTTAATTTTGTCGTTCCTTTGCAGTGTTTCCCATCAGCACGGAGGAGTTGACCCGAATAGGTTTGAGTTTGAAAGGACCTTTCAGACTACAAGAAGCTGATACAGTGGTTGATAAGTTGCAACGACCACCTCCTCTATTAGAAGTGTGTGTGGAACGTGTTTATTACAATATTAGCGGCGAGACAGCGGAT